TGCCAATAGCACAAATTTATGTGCCATCTTGGAGGAGTTGGACTATCAGTGCAACTTCTGTAGGGACAGGGTATCACCTCATGCTGTAAGCAGTGACACTGGCCCAAGCCAAATGCAAAAATAGTAAAGAAACAGTCAGAAAAGTTAAGGAGGGATCAAATGTGAGAGGCCTGTAAAATCATTCCTGTTTTGGAGGTTGTGTTACTGTTGTCCCTCTAGTGCGCCTACCAAAGCAGCTGAAACTGATTAACAACCCCCTCTGGTACTTAACTGACCACAATATCCCACAAGTTTAACTGACTAATGCTATACTCTGATTAAAATGCTCCTTTAATTCAGTTATTTTTTTATATATTTTATCTTTAGTGAATTATTCGATTCAATTTGTATGGATGTTTTCATTTAAAAAAAAAACATCAGGTTTGAAAGTGGCTCTCTTTTATGCAAAAGTACACAAAAGAGAGTATTTTGTCCAAAAAAGGAAAATATCCTCTGTTAAAGCTTCGTATTAAATGAAGTCTGCGTTGACAGATTTTATCCTTTGGACTGAAATGAGTTCACACCTGTTGTCATGTATGGGAGGCTGTATTGAGTGCTTGCACTTAACTGATGCTTTCGTTCAGTACGCTGAAATGAAATAAGCCTGTGTGAGTCTGACATGTTGCACAGGACACATGGCTGTCACACAGCAGCTGTTGGAGCTCCTAACCTGCGAACAAAACGCCCTGCAAGCTCTAAAAATCAACCTGCTACATGTGCACTTGGAGGCACGTGCGCCTTTTATAACTCCTACAAGTCTGTCTCAGGGTTTTCACAAATACCTATGTCATATTTATAACTTAATGTATGCTGTGTTTTCCCCACAGGAGCAACCAAATACCTCAAATTCACCTGTGATGAATTGGGAAATTAGTGGCCAGCTGTCAAATGCTGGTAGCGCTGGCTTTTGCAGCCCATCGCTCCTAATCAAGACCACCTAGCTCCTTTTTAAATATGTTGAAGATAAAGTAGCACTGTGATAGCAATTGTGCTAAATGAGCCATTTGAAAGTGTGGCTCATTTTTCATAATACTGGAGAAGTCAATTAAGGGACTTTTGAAGCTTGGGGAGGCCCAAGGAGACATTGAGGTGCGACGATAGGAAAAGACACCAGTGATTTTGAGTCACAAGAGAGAGAAAAACAAGCAGAGTCTCAGTGGAGAGACAACAGGGAAATGTAACCAGCAGCAGTGTCTGAGAGGAGAAAACAAAGGACAGGGTATAAAAATGTCAGACGCAGCAACAGTGACACCAGTTCTTGTCAGCCAGCCAGCTGCTTTCATAGCCTTTGACAGGCTGAGCAACAAAAGCCAAAATATCCAAATTGCTTGTGGGTAAAAGACGACTATTGTTACACTTTGTGTGGCCCCCATCTGCTCCCAGAGGACCCGGAGCCATGACACCACGTCCCACACTGACAGTGAGCCAGGGGGAGAAATTGGAATTGAACGGCTGCTGAAAGGCTGTTAATAAACAGTTAGTGTTGCATTTGCGAACAGTGTGAAATGTAAGCATCATTACCTAATCTCTCCCTGACAAGAAAACACAGCCACTGCTTTTCCCCCCCGGTGTTTGTTAGAGGAGTTAGCTAAAACCCGGGCCTTACTGTAAAAGACAAAAGTGGTTTCTCCTTAATAACATCCCTCTGTGTGAATAAAACATCTGCTCCCTTTGCTAGTCATTTCTGCATTAGCTAAAACCCGATTTAATAAAAGTATTCAACAGTGGTGTTCTGCCTGCAGGAGCTTCTCTTTGAATCTGACTTGAATTTTAAACTTCACTAAGTTAAGATTTGCTTGAACTCATTGGAGATCTGATTCTTTTTTGTTTTCACACAAGATATTTTTCCACCTCAGGTTTTATGAAACTGCTAGATTTCAGTCGAGCACAGCATGGAGTTCTTGGTGGCTGTGGTCCCAACTGCCTTAGTCAGCTGCTCATGTGTAGTTTTGGGCTGATCCAGCACCTTTCTCATGATCGTCCTCACCCTATGAGGTGATGTTAGGCATGGAGCTGCAGACTGATGGCGACTTATGGTCATTATATGTCGTTAACCTCCTAAGATCCAAACTCTTTCATGCCATGCATTTTTAATTTCTCTTTGCTATATTTGGACTGATTGGGACCTGATGAATGTAAAAACAAAGAATTACCTGATTTTTTTTTTATCTGATTTTTGTTTCTGAGAAAACAAAAATCCGCATATGAGGACATTAATTTTAAATTTCAGTGGCAGTATAATGTCCTGGTAAGTGGATATCAGGCCCTAATAGAGCAAAATTCTGTATTTTGGTCTAAATAACCCAAAATGTGATGTCCTCATATGTGGACGCCAGGTCCTAGAAGGTTATTTTCCAAACAGTTTTCATCTTCCCACCAAGCTTCTGAGATTTTTGGTTGATATTCCGTCTCCATGAAAATGAAACTAACAAAATCAGAGACTGTTGATATCTTTGTAAGTGAGCAAACTCACAAGTTCTGCATGGGACTGAATCATTAAGTCCCCAATGTGCACATCAATTCTGTGTTCTTGTGTTTATGAAGTTAAAATCCTCCAGCTCCACCATCAACAATGGCTGCTTGGACACCATTCCAGTTTCATGATAAAGTTTTACTGAACAACAGCTGCTTTTATATAAACAGCTCCGGGAGTTTGGCTTGACAACCACTTGTAACGAGTAATCGACCTTCCCTTGGAACCATTTCTTGGACTTTGATACTGCAAATAAACAAACAAACACACCCACGGCAAAAAAATGTATCAATTAATAACCTCAGAGTTTTCTTAATCTGCATTGTTGATTAATTTGAAAAAAAAAATCTCGGTGTTATGTCATGTCCAATTTTTGCCCAATCACAGGGGACAAAAAGGATGGAAGATAGGAGGAAAAAACTGAACCTTTGTTAATAAACTTCCAATAAAGCCAAAAAAAAAAAAAAAAAGGCATAAGAAGGCACATTTATTTTAACTGTGGTAGTGTCTTCAAAACCAAACAGATCATCATGGATCAGCAGGGACGTAAAGTGGACTCATTTTATGTCCCTGGAGGCTTGCTTCAAATGCCGTGCAATAATTTTTTACGGCACACCCAACCTAAAACCATCAAATCTGATTTTACTTATTTTTTATGTCTCTTTGTGAATCTGACCCCTGATAAAGGTCTTGGCCCATGCAGGTCACAACTCCTGCCAGTCTCAATGGCAATAGCTCAAAGCTTTAAGTTCGCAACAGAATAATATTGTACAGAGGGTTCAATAAATCGCAGCATCTTTTAGTTCGCACGAAGAGCCACTCATAGTAATTGGAACCAGACTGATGACTGTAGCATACACACTCGCCCCAGAGACCTTTTCTCGCCAGCAACAGAGCATGAGCTCATCCCCAGCTGGTCCACCAGAGGGAGGGGACCGTGCAGGCAGGATGGATGTAATGCAAGGCTCTAAAAAGAGTGAGGTAATGGGTGAAGCATCTTCTTCCTGATTTTTATCCAAAGAGAGACAAAAGCAGGAAAACTGAAAGATTTCCTAGAATGCAGGTGTCCTCCTGGGAGCTTCCTCTCCTCCTGCCTCAGGATGATGTGCATGGAGGTTGCTGTGCTGCCAGAATAACAGAAAACAAGTCCAGGTCCCACCAGAGTGTGATGCAACCTGCTTCTTAAAGGCCCAATCGCCAATACAAGTGTGAACACAAAGTTCTGCAACTCAAGACGTGAAAACTTATGTTTTATGTTAGTAAATATTTATTTGTAACACAATCTTATGTTTTCCAGTGTGACAAGCTGTGTAAGTCAAGTATTTGTGATTGATGTTATAAAAAGCATTAATTGACGTTGTGCGCTATCCTATCAGAAGCAGACACCAGAAGATGGGAACACTGTACTCACAAGTAATGAGCATGGGCAGCAACAATATTCAGGCAGGCTGTGGCTCTTTATGATGCTCGGTTAGTGCTAAGAGGCCCAAAGTGTTGCAAGAAAAGTTGCCCGATACCCTCACACAACCAGCACTACTGGCTGTTGATGCAGAGCAGGATCCATGCTTTCATGTTGTTTACCATCCAAATGTCGCAGTAATATGCCCTGTTAAAGGGGAGATTTTCCTTCCTGCTGCTGCCAAATGCTTGGTCATAGGGAACTGTTAGATTGTTGGAGATTTTTGTTACTGTAAGGCCTTTATTTTTAAATTTTAAGCAACCGAAGCGATTGAGGTGACTGCTGTTGTGAATTAGTGGTGTATAAATAAAATTCAATCGAATTTAACTGAAATCTGCTTCAAGCTATAATAAATTCTGCATTCAGAGAAGAGCTGTTTAATGCAGTTATTTTAAAATAACATGACTTACTTTCTATAAACAACTTCATAGTGTGAGCTTTAGTTTTGCATTTTACCTGCATGTTTCTTACAATAACTAGCTGGTCTGCATCTTTGTGACTCAGCTTATACAATTGATAATTGCACCTTGCCAAATATACTTGCTAAAAGTGGGTTGATAACTACTACTATCAGTTCTTGTGAACTGATAGAACGGTTGTAAACAACCCAAGAACATGCTAAAAAAAAAAATAAATAAAAAAATAAATAAAAAAATCGAGATTTCAAAACAGACTTCAATGAGCGATGGTCCGTGTTTTGTATACATACTAGCATGTGCATGGAGCACAAGTGATGATCCAAAATGTTGAAGACTGCATTTTGACTAAGGATCACAGTGCAATGTATGTAAAGCCTAAACAGGGTGCGTTAAAGTGAGAGGGACACAGTGTTTGAAAAAGCTGTGTGAGCGCACAGCACAGGAAACGTCTGCTTCTGAACAAAGGCAAGTGTCCTCTGGGGAAAGGTCAGAGAACGACTGTGATGTGAAAGAAGAAAAAAGCAACAAATGAACAGGTCAGTGGCCAAAGAAACTAAAATCAAAGATTAACTCTGGGAAGCACAAATTGATGTCAGGTGGCTACAAGTTATCCAGAGGTACGTTTTCAATAACCTTTATTAGCATAACAATAGGAGAACAGCAGCAGTATTATTTGTAAAATGCTCTTTAATAAGGTGCTGGAAATATCTGACAGTCATGTTTGTTCTTTTCCACAGAACATTTATCACCAAAACCTGGGACACCACAGTGTGACCAGAGCATGTGCCACAAAACAGAACATGACCTTTTACAAAATTTACACATAAAATAGTCACAGTGTAGAGGAGAGGGAGGCTGAACGCACTGCACTGGGATATTAAGGCAACACGTCCCTTCTTTTTCCCCCCGTACAAGAAAAAAAAAAAAAAGTATGAAAGAAAGAAAAAGACAAAAAAGCACCAGGAAACCGTTTAGAGGACCTAAAGGAAAACACAAACACTTCTGTCATAAGTGATGTGCAAGGCAAAGACACAAACATGAACAAGTTACAAATGTAAGTGACAGATGTTTGGTGCAAAACACCCGCTGGTGCTTTGGAGACCAGCAGCTTGGCAATTCAAATGTTGCGTAATCCAGTCTGTATAATAAAACAACCTGTCTCATCTTTGTGGATCTTAGCAGGGGTTGAAATTTTCATCCTGTTATGATTTTTCTTTTTTAACTCTTTAGCTTTGTTAGTGTTGAGATGTTTCCAGTAAATACTGGCAGATTTCTGAGGAAACAAATGAATAAAAACGATCAAGAAAAAACAAAAACAAAACAAAAAAAACCCCCAAACGAATGTCAAATTAAAAAGCAAACCTCCCAGAAATTGATACAGTTATCTATAAACAGGCAGAACACAGAGAGCATTTTATTTCTTCCACATGTGCAGCAGATTGGTAGAAGACTCCAGGTGTGTCTGATCCCGGCCCATGTCTCGAAATCTGGGAGATTTTTTTCCATGAGATTCGTCTCGAGAGGCTGATAAAACAGGGAGCGAGTCCCTGCCTCTCACTGACAGGCAATATTACAGGCAAACTCACCACGAGCACATCTGCAACAGCCAACAACACCAGGAGATCCAGTACAGCCAGGCCTGCTGATTGGCTGAGGAAACATTTCCTTTCCACCCTCGTTAGGGGCACACCTCTGATGCCGATCTGTAGTAAACGTGATGTGCAGTAATTTTGAGCGTGTCCAGTTTCTGCAGGGATGATGATCAGGAGGAGGGATGCAAACAGCCGCATGGCAGGAAGGCGGGAAGAGGGGGGGGGGGGCACACTGATTACAGCTTTAAATGTTACATCATCAGTTAATAAACAACCGTCCGTCATGCTGTACCCGGTAAAGAAAACTCAAGCCGTCACAAAAGCTCGTTTACATACAAACACTGAGACAAAAGGAGGTAATAACGAGTTAAACAGTCATATGGCGTTGAGTCGATCACCTATAAAGAGTAAACATTGAGATCACGCTTATTCCTAAAACATTACATGTTAAAAGAGCGCAGGTGGTTCACTTGCCCTTCATCTCCCTTTTCTCATCTTCGTTGTGCAAGAGTTATCATTTAGTCCTTTATTATTCGGTTGCACATTTGCATCCTCATAGTGTCACACAGAGACAAAGACGTCCAGGTAGAGGCGATCGTAGGACTCCCTGAAGAAGAGGATGAGGACGAGGCTGAAGAGACAGGAGCCAGTTAGACACCAGTTCAGCCACGACACATCTAGATGAAGACAAGAAAGGGAACAAGCACGAGTTAGATTTCTGTTCAATCACCAAAGAGCTTTAAGCAAGTTTTCCTACTTAGCAGCCATCTTGGTACCAAACAGTCATTTTGGCCTAATTAAACCAGACCCCTATCGAAATGGTTTGGGAGACAGCCACACTCTGATTGTGATGGACAACTGTGCATTTCTCATTTGCCTCTTCAACCTTTTCCTTCTTGGCTTCCTGATAACTTTCAGTCAGTACCACTATATTTAAAAGAGATCCCACAATTCACCTCTGTGCACATATCTGGAAAGCATAAGCTGGCCAGAGTAAGAAGCAACCTAAAAAGCATCGCTGTACTTGTATTTTTTAAATGTGCAAAAGGAGCATCAAACTGAGGGTCAGCTTTGATATCAGCTGATCTGAACTGTAGCAAAATCTTGGTTAGGCTCTCATCATGGCCAATTAACACTATCATCATGGTTAAATGACTGTGGTATTGGTGGTCACGTCAAAAAATAAAAAGGATCTGAAAAGGACACGACCAGAGTTCCTGGTACACAGCAGCAAACCCCTACATATGACACTGTGCTCCTTTATAATAATATGACTCCACATATATACAGAAACCTAAAGGAGATGTTCACATGAAATGACACTGAATGATTAATTAGCATTAACAGCCCTAATGGCTAATCAACAGGAATTTCTGACATGCCACACAAAACAGAAGCAGCCTGTGCCGTCTTTCATAATCACTCTCAATAATTCAATGATATTGGCAGTGTTCCCTATTATCATTGACCTACACTTGAACCTAAACATGGTGCAGAATGAGGTGTTCTATTTTCTCTGCTCTGTTCAAGCTCCATTAACCACAGGAGAGGTGCTCTGGCTGTCTGCAATAATGCTGAATCTGGAGGGCAGATGGGAGCCTCACACCAGCGCTGAACCGCCGGCATCTTAACTCACCAGCACACATAACCTCTGCTTGTTCAGCCTCCGTGATGCGTGCCACAGATTGTCATCATGCACGCTTGCACGTGCGTGCACGTGTAAACGCGGGTCTAAAGCCTGGACAAAACGCAAATCGATAAACTCTTCCTTTCACGTGCATTAAGCAGCCCTCGCTGGGAAGCTGCTCGTCTCGCAGCGAGGGCTGCGAGTTGCAGGTGTTTGAGACTCTGTCCTGACAAAGATGTTAGGCTGAATCTTTCCCGCTTGGTGAAGGCCAATATCTCAGCCAGGATACAGGCTGCAGTGGAAGCAGGAAGCTGACAGAGTAAATATAGAGAAAATCAGGTTATAACAGGCAGCAGAATCCATGAATACATGCCAGGACAATGTGTCACAACTCACACTGGCTCAACTCCGTGTCCAGTCGGCATCCTTTTCATAAAGTCATTAATCAGCTGACCAGATCGATGCTTGAAGAGCTCGCTGCTCGGACTGCACAGCACAGCCTCTTTGTGGTAAATTATGAGTCCTGGCCGTACGACACAAATCCACATGATTGATGCGTCACCGCTTTCGTGAGGAGGAATAATGTGCGGCCAGAAGTGCGAAGATGAAAGTAAAGGATAAACTGGGGCAAAAAGAAGGTGGTGAAGGGGCTTGAGGGGAGAGGGAGGTGAGGGATTGGATAAGGGTGTTTGCAGAGAGAAGTCAAGACTCCTGAATCAGCCTCATTAATCAGAACCGTGCGAGCCGGACAGCAGGAGACCTGGCAAGGAGGCAGGTTAATGGAGTTGTGTTTATCTGACCTGCAGTCTCTGTCTAACTGTCTATCTTACACATTCCCACAACAAAGACGTGTCCATTTAAAGTTAGAGACAAAGTGTGCGAGCGTGTGGGTCTGAGCCCACGGCCCTAAATGAATGCTAATGTGGAGTTTAGCAATCAGAGTAATTCAACCAAGTGATGTGGTGAAAACGGCCAATTACTCCTCTCTGATTTCTAAAGACGAACGTGAAGCACTGAAGCATTTTGTGGGGCTTTTAAGTTACTGATAAACAGGTTGTCTAAGAGGAAGGTGGTGATGACGGGGAATGTTTTATGAAATAGAAGCTGAGGAGCTGGTAAAACCCATTTCTGTAAAGAAGTTTTTCTCTCTCATCCTTTGTCCTCGTATCTCTACCAGTCCCTACTAATTGTCCCTGTCAGTGCTGCTATGGCATTATGAGGATGAATGAACTGCTCCAAGTTTAAAAACACACGCGTAAAACTTAATGCAGTGGGTTTATTTTTAATTTCCAAACCCTGTCTGGTTTATTCCAGCTGCTATGGTGGAATGTAACTGCAACGACAGAGCAAAACTAAATGTGCAGCATGACATCGTCTGCCCCTCTGTTCACAGAGCATGCAGCCTGCTCATTAGGACACACTGACATACCGTGTCATCGTCTGACAGTTTACATGACATCGCAGAGTAAACATTTGGTCGGATCTTTGTAGTCTCAGAACCAATGAATAGATGAGAAGCATCACAGCACCTGCAGTAATAATCATGTTGCATCATTGTGGTGATCAGTTGAAAATAAATAAATACATTTTCTGTCATACGACTGCATCACTGTGTCGGCTTGCAGAGATCTGTGAACAGGAAAAACTCAGATCACATCCAGAGGGTGTTTATTATCATGGCCGTGCTGGCCGTCGCCAAAAAACGTGACATTTATCCATGGTCAGAGGGCCCGGTGGCGCCAGTGTCCGGCAGCCTCGCCTCTGTCAGTGCGCCCCAGGGTGGCTGTGGCTACAATGTAGCTGCCATCACCAGTGTGTGAATGTGTGTGTGAATGGGTGGATGACTGGATATGTAAAGCGCTTTGGGGTCCTTAGGGACTAGTAAAGCGCTATATAAATACAGGCCATTTACCATTTACCATGTCAGTGGCCAAGATTGATCTTTAGATGTTCTGCCCTGAAAGTCTTTAAAAAAAAAAAAAAAAAAAATAGATGAGTCATTTATCTATAACAGACTTGTGTTTTCCGGCGCAAAGGGGGGAAATAAAAGTGAAAGACTGACTGGCTGACTTTCATTGTACTGTGCTATCAAACACTATCAATCTAACATCAAAATCTACTCCTGCCTAATGTTCCCGTCTGCTCTGTGAATCAATCATCCCCAAGACTTTAACTACAAGCTAATTTTGCATCGTGGGCCACGTACAGCCCACTTTGATCTGAAGTCTGAATTATATTAGAAATAATATAGAAAAAAAGTGCACGTCTCAACATGTCTACATAAAATCATGCCAATAAGATCACGATCACTGTATACAAGGATACAAGCAGCATGCAACAGGTGGCAAAGTTGTATTTCAAGCCACTGGCTCATCTGCTATTTTGCTAAGTTGTGTTAATACTGCCAAAGACCTTGTTCTTGACCAGACCTAACCCAGATTAAGATATTACTATTCCATAAATGATCCTAACGACAGCATCTCTGCACGGGCAGCAGAGGGGCACACGCAGACACTATGAATATTACAGTCGAGCTCAGCGCTCGTGTGAATAACAGTTCTTGTTGGAATGGAAAATGATACACATGGCTTTGATTTCATTGGAAGTTGATTAAGCACTGAAGCATGAGAGGAGATTCTTGTGAATTGTGGAGGGATCAAAATAAAAAACCAGGTCACACTCACGTTCTTGTTATTCAACTCTGCTAAAGTTTTAATACTTACCTATTCAGATTGTTTTGATTCGAGCACAGATGTAAGATGGCATTCTTGACCATCATCAGTCTCCTGATTCTAACAGGACATCAGCCACAAATGGCAATCCGACTGATCGCTGATGTCATGAACTACACTGGGTTCACTGTGACTGTATGATCACAGTCAGAGGACACCGCTGTGAACACTGGACAGTTAATCATAATAACAGCCTATTACTATGGCTGCCAGGTCAGCAGAAAGGTGCTACAGATGAAGACTGAGACGTGTGCCGACAAGCATCTTATGGCCTTAATCAGTCTTAATTGAGGTCAATGCAGCGGTATAATTAATGAAGCTCGCTTCTCCTTTACGGCCGTCGCCTTTGTTTGAGAGGATTGGGGTCACGCATGAAGATAGCGACCTCAGCTTGGTGTAAAGACCATCCATCACAAAATGACAACTGTCTGCGTACAGGTTGGTGAGAACACTTACTTCAGGAGATCACACAAAGGTGTGTGTGGCACTGTTGCAAAAATGAAAAGCAGCAAATGAAACTTTTATTCTCTCAGGAGTCCTACACAAAGAAAGGTTGTTTGCCTTTTCTTTCTTTCTTTTTAACTTCTCCGCCATCTTTATAGGGGCTTGAAAAAGGCAGCGAAGGCGTTTTCACTTCAGAGACTATAAAGTTTAGCCAAAAGAAAAAGAAAAGAAACCCTGGGACCTTAGAACTGTGCCAATTATTTCTCAATAGTGAATAATTTGTGTTTTTCTCCTATGCAACTGAAGTTCCACTCATCCTCCACCTCCTAGCGCTCTTCTTCCTCCACAATACCTCTCTGCTGATTTGCATTCCCCTCCATGCTCGCTACAAAATGACACAAATGCGCAGCAGATGAAATCGGAAAAGAGGGACAAGTACAGATATACGGCCCAGAGGCTCCGTTCACGTTTCTGAGTCACATGGTTTAGAGACTTGGGAATTTTTTAAAACATGACAGTCAAGAGGCCAGTTAGAGCTCACTGATCCAAGACCAGCTCCTCACAGATATTAAAACGGACAAGAGGGTAAATTCATAAACGCCCCCTCGCTCTCAGGGAGAAGGAGCTATAATTCAGAATGCATAACGAGGCAGTGGGCAGCCAAAAGGAAAACCCTAAAATGAACAATAAACTGGGAATAGGTGGACATCTTTAAAGGCGAAAGTTGCCATATTCATGAATATCAGAAGGTGAAGGGGGGTTGAAGTTTGCACATTACTTGCTAAATACAAAATGAGAGTAAAGAAAGGACATTAGAGCAATTAGCCAGCCCACTAAAACACTCCAAAGGGAATTTACACAGTAATCTAAATTT